TCAACAAGCTTTATATAGGTAATCAATTAATCAGAGGACCATAGTGTGCAAGTAAAGTAACAAACCGTTTGATAGTTTTGCCTTTTTATGTCCTTTTTGTATATGTAGATTAGCCCCCAAAACTGTAGTATGCTTATTAATTTAGGACAAATTGGCATGGAAGATCAATAACAAATGTTTGTGGCATGCAGTGAATATAGATAGAATTTATGGATTTTTAGTTGAGCTTCTTGACGTTACAAACTTAATTATTTACCTGTACTTTTTTATAAACTGCACGAGAAAAGTTAATTTGGGAGTATGTCTGCAGTGGAATGGGATCCTTGGCTACTGCATATTGAGCTACAGTTAGTTGCACTTGAAGCCTTCTTCCACGTCCGATTGGAATTTGGAATGGGACATCCGGCATAATAAGCTACACTGCTACAGTAATCTGTACGGTATTTCCAAAAAAAACTGTACCGATAGTTGATCTATACGTACTGCATTCTTTTAAGGGTTATGGAACTCTTCCCCCGTATGGTATGTAAAACAAAACGATAGATTGGTACATAATTAATTAAGTATTTATTATTTCATCGTGTCATAGTATAAATAATTTTAAGGTAGACACGGGTATTAAAAATATAGGTGAAAATGATTAGATAAATATTGTGATTAGTTTAAAAGAAAAGGTAGGTAAAGAAATTAAATAGAGTTGGTTGAAAGGAGGGATAGATGGAGAAATAAATTTATTTTGGGATAATTACTATGCAAGAAATAATTACATTTTCACGGAGGTAGTAAAAAACTTGAAAATGAATTAATATGATTTTTAAGTAACTTTTCTATTGTTTTTTTATAAAATGCATGGTTTAAAAATTCAGGAAGCGTGTGTGCTGGAAATGAAGGAGTAGAAGTTAGTAAAGTGGAGAAAAGAACACACTGCTAGGGTGTGTTCGAAACTATGGGTTCATCTTTAATAGACTACTGAGTAGTTTGTACAGGACATGAGGAGAAGGGTCACATTGCTTGGAGTGTTTTTTCTTCAAGAATGGGTTGTTCCCAGTTTGAGTTTATGCCTTTCTAGCTACAGGAACTTTTGCATGCTCATGAATCTCTCAGTTGTTTGGATCAGCCTTTTGGTATTTCTGAATTGGATAAAATTGTAAAGAATTTACCCATAGATAGAGCTCCTGGGCCTGATGGTTTTAATGGGCTGTTTGTGAAGAAGTGTTGGCCAATCATTTGTCAAGATTACTACAAACTTGCAGCTGAATTTTACTCTGGCACTTTGGACTTGGATCCCCTAAATCACTCTTTTATCATTTTGGTTCCAAAGAAACCTGTCCGTGAAGGAATAAATGACTATAGGCCAATATCACTCCTAAGAATTTCTCTTAAAATCCTGACAAAAATTCTGGCTGACAGACTGCAAAAGGTGATATTAGAATTAATTAGTTAGAATCAATATGGCTTCATAAAAGGGAGAACTATACAAGATTGCCTAGCTTGGAATTTTGAATTTCTTCATCAGTGCCATCATTCCAAAAGAGAAATAGTTTTGTTAAAATTGGACATTGAGAAGGCTTTTGATACTATTGAACATGAAGCCATTTTGCTAGGAATGGAAGCTATGAGTTTCAGTGTTACATGGCTTGGATGGATAAGGAAGATCTTTTCTTCTGCCTCCTCCTCAGTTCTGATAAATCGGGTTCCTGGAAACAATTTTCATTGCAAGAGGGGGGTGAGGCAAGGTGACCCACTTTCACCTTTACTCTTTGTATTAGGAGCTAAGCTTATTCAAGCTATTGTTAACAGAGCTTATAGTATGGGGCTCCTTTCAAAGCTTCTTCCTTCAGATATTGATCCAAATTTCCCCATTGTCCAATATGCTGATGACACTCTCCTCTATTTGAAAGCTAGTGATAGAGAACTTTTTATTCTGAAGGCTTTATTACAAACTTTTCAGCTGGGGACTGGTCTGAAGTTCAATTTCAATAAATCTTGTCTCATTCCAATAAATGTTGATGAGGGGAAAGCTCAGAACTTAGCTGCAGTTTTTGGATGTAAATTGGGGTATTTGCCTTTTACTTATTTGGGTTTACCTCTTGGTACCACTAAGCCAGAGGTAATTGATTTTGCACCTTTGGTGGATAGAATTGACAGACGGCTTACTGCAAATGCTTCTTTCTTGTCTTATGGTGATAGGCTTACACTGGTTAATTCAGTTTTTTCTTCACTGCCCATCTACTACATGTGTACTATAATGTTGCCAAAGACAGTGATTGACAGTATTGACAGAGCAAGGAGGCATTGTCTTTGGAGAGGCTATCATTGGCAGCCTGGGATAAGGTTTGTAAGCCTAAGTGCAAAGGGGGCCTTGGAGTTCTAAACCTTTCTATCCAAAACCAAGCTTTGCTCATCAAGTTTTTGGATAAGTTTTACAATAAGAAGAATTTGCCCTGGGTCAATCTTGTTTGGACTTCCTATTATGGTAATACTATCCCTCATTTATCAAATTTGAAAGGCTCTTTCTGGTGGAGAGATATTTGCAAATTGATGGATGTCTTCAGAGGTCTTGCAAGGTGTCATCTGAAAAGTGGAAATACCGGTTCGTTTTGGTATGATGTATGGAATGATCAATCTCCTCTTTTTTACTCTATGCCGAGGCTATGCTCTTTTGCTCAGGACCATAATGTATCAGTCTCCGATTTCCTATCCATCGAGGCAGAAGGCAATTTCACATTGCCACTATCTATCTAGGCCTTCCAGGAGTTTCAAGAACTTACTTCTTTCCTTGTGGATGTTGAGCTGGTCAATAAAAATGATGTTTGGTCTTACATTTGGGGGAATATGAAGTATTCCTCATAGAAATTTTATGCTCTAAACTTCAGAGCTGTTAAGCCAACAGTTCATTACCTATGGCTTTCGAAGTGTAAGCAGTTTCTAAAATGAAGGTGTTTGGATGGCTACTCTTGATGAATAGATTGAACACCAAATTTATGCTTGATCATAAGAATTGTGCTCCTCCAAATTATGGCCTTTCTTGTGTTCTTTGTCAATCGACAGCTGTAGAAGACTTAATACATCTGTTCTTTCTATGCCCCTTTGCTCAGAATTGTTGGAACCTTTTAGGCATTGCCTGGGATACAACCCTTTCTTTCGAAGGAATGTTTATAAGGGCTAAGTTGGATTATCAGGGGAGCTGTTCATGGAGAAGTTTCTTTATGCTCCTTGGAATATCTGGAAGTAAAGGAATGGTTTCATTTTTTGATCAAAAAATTCCTTTTTGTCTTCTTGGAGGCGATTCTTAAAGGGTGACCTCTTTCTTTTGTTGTTTAGGATTAATGTGAGATATCACGATGTAATCATAAGCTGGATCAATCTGTTGTAATTTGTTCTCTTCTTTATTAATAAAATTATCTTAACAACTTAAAGTAGTTTTGCACGTAAATCGGGCGCTGACGTCATCGCCTGATTTCCCTCGCTCCCGTCGGACGACCGATGCGTAGTCGCGTCCCAATTATAATGTGTTTTTTCATTGTTTTCTTTTCCAGATTTAACATTTAAACTGCTAAGTGTATAAATATAATAACTTGACTCTAAAATTATTTTTCATTGTCTCGTTTATTTTCCTTCATACTATTAGCCGAAGCCAACCAATTTGACATTTCTATTTTAGGACACTTTGAAATTTTTTCGAGAAGAAGACTTTGATTTTAGGACTGATTTTACGTGGTTTGCTGGTCACTCTAGTTCCCTAGCTCTATTTTTATGATATTTAGAAACATAAAAAAACATATATATGTAGTTATTTTTTAAAAACCAAGGTCAAAATTTCAGAACCTTTAAAAAAATATTTGACAAGCATGACATTAACGGAAGCTAATAAAATATAATCAAAATCTAAAACCGTGAATTGGAAATAGCCCATCCGGATTTCAATTCTACGCTTTATAATGGAACTATCCCATCTGGGTTTAAATTCTACGCTTTAGTGATAGGTACTACCTCCCATATAAATTATAATTCTAAGTTGTTTAACATATATTAAGGTTTGAGAAGGAAGACTATGATGCCCCTTATTAAATATTGTATAGGTAGGAGTAGAAGGGTAGTTGAGAGTAAAATAGAGAGAAATTTGAACGATTAGTGGTTAATGAGGCCATTATTACTCTATTGTGATAATTATTTTGAGGCGAATTCAAATCCTAGAAATACAATTGTTATGAAACAGAAACGTATTTGTCACTATGTATACATTAATAAGGGTGAATGAAACGGTCTTTAGAAGAAAATGAAAATCGAACTGGCGAAGATTCTCGGGAGATAAATGCCAGATGCTGAAAATATAAACGCAGGGCGACAATCCAACATTCCTTCCAGAGTTTTTCCACCCACCAGCATTTACCGCGCACGCATTCCGAGGCGGCCCCCCCTCATCTCATCAAGTCTCCATCTCCTTGTTTTCTTCTGACCAAGGAGGGCATTTTCGTCAGAGGATGAACATTTCCAACGGCCCAATTCTTCCCCCTCACATCCGTTTCTGAATTCTCATCAGATTCAGATCCCTTTCCTTCTGCTGTAACAACGTTTCCTAATAATTTTTTTTGATTCCCCATCCAGAGAAAGAAGTAAATAATTAAGCCCAAATCTTGCATGGTGACCACGTGTCAGTGACACATTCTGTCAGAGAATGGGATTAGACGATTTGTTAACCACAAATCTCTGACAGAACTAGAGTGAGAAACAATCTCTGCCAAAATCTAGAGAGAGAAACAACCTCTGCACAGAGAGAGAGAGAGAGAGAGAGAGAGAGAGAGAGAGAGAGGCCTTTGTATAGTACAGTTGCCCACTCATCTCTCGCACTCGCAATGCGCCTTTTGATGTCACTCATGGCTGCTCTCTTTTGATCTTTTCCTCTTTTTCTTCTTCTTCTTTGAAGCATCATCAACTAGGGCGGTAGGGCCTCTTTCCTTTGTTCGTTTTATCTTTATAGCTTCTCTCTATCTCTCTCTCTCTCTGTGCCCTCTTCTTCCTAGCCGAATTCTGCTGGTCTCCATTGCGGCTACTGTTCTTGGGGTTGCCCTCTCTCTCTCCTTCCTTTGGTTTTGGGCGGTTTTCTTTTGCTGAAAAAAACTAGTTCTTGATTGGTTCTTGTCATCTTTGGGAGGACATTGCTCTGGGTGTGTGTCAAGATTGTGCTGGGAGCATAAAGCTGGGATCTTTGGCCAGGTTCTTGACTATCTAAATTGTTTGTTGTTGCTATGTACTAATTACCCTTGCATTTGGGAGCTCATAAGTCATAACATTACTTTTCTCTTTTGCAGATTGTAGAGGGCTTCTGGTTCTTGTCACTGGGGGTGCTTTAGAGCATTTCTTGGTGTCCATTACTGTTCTGGGTCATAGAGTTTCCAATCTTTGGCAATTACTCGGAGGAATTCTTGAGCTGTGTGCTACTGTTTCCTTTCCCTGATAAATCAACCAAGGGAAGGGAAGGCTGTATATTTTCCCTTTCTTGTTCTTGATCTTTGCAATAATTTTGATCATCTTGAAGAAAAGAAGTGTAAAGTGTTTGGCTGTGAAATGGCTGAGGTGAAGCCTGAGGACATGGTCCATCATCCACCCATGGACCAGCTCCAGGGATTTGAGTACTGCATAGACTCCAATCCATCCTGGGGTATGTAGTGTTACACTGCACTGAAGTGTTCTATGATTGGTTGATTTGTATTGTAGCATAGTATATGTTACTAACCCTGAGTGGTTCTGGTTGTTGCAGGTGAAGCAATTGCTTTGGGCTTTCAGCATTACATTCTTTCCCTGGGCACTGCTGTGATGATCCCAACAATGCTGGTTCCTCTTATGGGTGGAAATGATGTGAGAATTGCTTCATTTATTAACCCGTTTTTTATGTGCAGTAGAATTCCAGCTTCTGTATCAGTTGTCAAATGCTACAGCACATTAATATTGCAGGACCAACATATGACTATTCTTACTAAAATTTTTTGTTTCATTTGCTTCCAATAAAAGCATGACAAGGCAAGAGTTGTTCAAACACTGCTATTTGTTACTGGGATAAAAACACTGCTCCAGACATTATTCGGCACTCGACTTCCTACCATCATTGGGGGCTCATATGCATTTGTTGTTCCAATCCTCTCCATTATCCGTGACCCATCGCTTGCGCAAATTGCTGATGGCCATACTGTAAGTATGCAATGATCTTCAAGCTTATTTCAAATAGGCTATTGTTAATTATGGCCATTTTGGTACTGGAAAATTTTCGTTGTATTTACCTAAAGTATCTGTTTTGGTTCATTTGCAGAGATTTGTGCAGACAATGAGAGCAATACAAGGCTCCCTGATAGTCTCCTCGAGCATTCAGATAATTCTTGGCTATAGCCAATTGTGGGCAATTTGCTCCAGGTACCGCAGCTCCCGCAATATGCTTGAGTAGGACGTACGATGCCTTTATCTGTTTCTCCCCTAAAAAATATTCTTCTGCCATTATATGTCCAAATCTGTGCAAACATTTATACTGAGGGCATTTATTTGACAAACTTTGCTGGACCGATATGACATTGATGTGTGTAGATATTGCAGTTCAGATGATAAATATTTTAATCTTCATACTAGTATGACTAGCCGGCCACTTTATGTTGTTCTCAGTTTGAGTAGTGGGCATCATGACTTTAGAGAAAGTGAAAATATGCTAGTATACTAATCAAAGGGAGACCAAGATACTCAAAAGTGATGGGATATGTTTGCTACCTTCATGTCGACGATAAGAATAAGATGACAGTAGTTTGATACCATGATGTGCATGTTGCAGGTTCTTTAGCCCACTTGGGATGGTTCCGGTGGTCGCGCTTGTGGGGCTTGGCCTATTCGAGAGAGGATTCCCTGTGGTAAAAGCTCTAATAGCTACCCTTACTTCCACTCTGTATGACAGTACCAGTCAATTCAATGTTAGGTTCTTGCAATTCTAAAGTATGCCCACATAATCCAGAAAAAAAGAATATTATCTCAACATAACCTTTTTGAAGCATTTGCTTGCTTATTTTGTACTTTCTCTATTTCATATTATAAGTTGATTGACTTTTTCCTTAGTTAAAGTTCTTTAGGTTTGACCAAGTTTATAGAAAAAATTATTAACATCTACCACACCAAAGTAGTTTCATTAAATTTAATATTAAATATATTTTGTTAATATGTTTATTTTATATTGAAAATATTAGTATATTTATCTCTAACTTGGTCAAACTTAAAGAAATTTGACTAAAAAAAGTCAAACTATTTATAATATAAAACGGAGGGAGTACCATATAATTTATCTGATAAGTTAAATATTAGCATTATTATTATTATTATTTAGTTTATTTGAAGCATAGAAGTTAGGATCCACTATTATTATTGGTTTATTTGCATCATACTCCTAGAATTCATGAAAATTACCCAACTTAGTCGTAAACATTCGGCATGAAAAAAGGGGTTGATTGTTGCCTATGCTAAGCTGCTTCGATCATTAATTAATCCTATGGAAACATGTTCACTTAAATATTTACTTCCAACTTGGCAAATTTGACTCCTGGAACAAATCAATTCTTTGCATGAGTCATCTCTGTTATCACCTTTTTAAAGCTATTTATATTACAATAATTGTTAACCCGTACTTAATTTGGTTGTTACACATTATATCAGATTGGGAGATGTGTGGAGATCGGCCTTCCAATGCTCATCCTGTTTGTCGCGCTCTCCCAATATCTGAAGCATGTAAATGTCCGGCATGTTCCAGTTTTGGAGAGGTTTTCGCTGCTTATATGCGTTGCTCTTGTGTGGGTATATGCCCACATCCTCACAGCAAGTGGCGCCTACAAGCACACAGCCCTGCTCACCCAGTTCAGCTGCCGAACAGACCGTGCCAACCTCATCTCTTCTGCTCTATGGTTTGGAGTCTGCCACATTAGCTGATTAATTTTTACATCCACATTTTACAACAAACTCTCATGTTCAATGTTTTCACTGTCTCGAAGGATAAGCATTCCGTTCCCGTTGCAATGGGGTGCACCAACATTCAGTGCAAATCATGCGTTTGGTATGATGGCTGCCGTCGTGGTGTCGTTAATTGAGGTACCTTGAAATACTTAGCAAATACATGGTTTATCAGAGCATTTTTCAGTGTTCTGAGAACATTTCAATACTGCAGACAACTGGAGCTTTCATGGCTGCTGCCCGGTTGGCAAGCGCAACACCACCACCTGCATATGTGCTGAGTAGAGGCATTGGATGGCAGGTTAGTGGTCTTCTCATAGGTTGATTCATGAATCTTAACTTGGAATACCCACTAAATTAGTTACATGTTCATAAACATTTAAGAACCAAATTTTGTTTCTGGTAAAGAAATGTAAATTTTTGGATGGATAATTCTGCTAGTGATAAACTCCCTTTTAACTTTTCTGCTCGAATATGTCAATTTTTCAGGGAATCGGTACCTTACTAGATGGTCTATTTGGCACTGGTACTGGATCTACTGTTTCTGTGTGAGTGCATCTGCTGTACTAATACTGAGTTTTCACCCTATGTTTGCTCTGTAAAAGCACCCCTAATCTTTTGGGTGTTATTCAGTGAGAATGTTGGTCTTCTTGGATCAACAAGGGTTGGTAGCAGGAGAGTGATACAGATTTCTGCAGGATTCATGATCTTCTTCTCCATGCTAGGTAGCATTTCTCCCTAGCATTCAACACACATTTTTGCTGTTTTTTTGGGAGTTCTGAATCTGTCATGGTTGTAGGAAAATTCGGTGCACTATTTGCCTCCATTCCATTCCCAATATTTGCGGCTATATACTGCGTAATGTTTGGCATTGTCGGTAAGCAGCCCAAACATACATGACAAAATGATTTTTTTTCGCTTTTTAAATGTATTTAATGGACAGTACACTCATTTTATTGTGTCTTCAGCTGCTGTGGGACTATCCTTTTTGCAATTCACCAACATGAACTCAATGCGCAACCTCTTCATTGTTGGTGTCTCCCTCTTTCTTGGCTTATCAATACCAGAGTACTTTTCTCGGTATACCACGAGCGCACAACAAGGACCAGCGCACACTAAGGCTGGATGGGTTCGTACTTATATACTCTCTAACATTTCAATTTCCATTTGGAATGAACAGCATACGAAAATGAATCTATATCTAGTACATTGCGGTAACACAATGCTAATTGACTGCAAAAAAAAATGTGATATTGCCTAATGTTATTCCTTATTTGTTGCAATAAAAATAAAACTTAGACAAGAAGTCAAGAACATTATCATGATTAATTTCAAGTCCAAAATAGAAAAGTATTGATATTGGTTTCATGATTTATATGCTATTCATTTTCTGACATTGGTTCTCCATTGTTCTTAGAATATTTGACATTTTCCTGCAAGTCTGTTCATTGTACATGTTTACACTGGAAACCAGAATTTGAATTGTGCTGCTCTTGTGTGCAGTTCAATGACTACATCAACAGCGTCTTCTCGTCTCCACCGACTGTCGCCCTCATCATGGCGGTTCTCCTTGACAACACACTCGATGTCAGAGAGGCGGCAAGGGACCGGGGAATGCCATGGTGGGCGCGATTCAGGACGTTCCGAGGCGACAGCAGGAATGAAGAGTTCTACACCCTGCCATTCAACCTCAATAGGTTCTTCCCACCATCTTGAGCAGAGCAGAGCAGAGCTGCCGAAATTCAGAGAATGCAAAGACAAAGTTCCAGATGCACCAAGCAGTGAAATGTAGTCTGCTTTTGATAGGGTAGAACAGAAAGTTGAGCTGACAAAATGAGCAATTTTACCAGCAGGCAAGGAGGAACTCTCTTCTAGCTGTCCACTTGTACATAGAAACGATTCGTTTTTCTTTTCATCAGCTTCAACACCGAGGATGTTTGATTTTGCTGTAAGCAATTAATTAATATCTTGTGAACAACTGGTCATATTAGTTTGAATAAGAACTGTTAGTTATAATTTTTTTATCCATTACATCCATCTGCAACTAGCCATATACAACTCTTTATTTTTCTTTTGTTGAAATTCAGATGTACATGAGCACATCCCTATGGTTATTGGTGACGATGAGTGATCTTAAGTCAGGCGACCAATTTGCACCAAAGTTTGACAAAAAATTTTCATGTCGGTCATCACAGAAATAGCAACTCACTGAAGCAAAAATGTGTTCTGAGCCACAAATCACAAATGTAATGGACCAAGATGTAGCACGGAAAAAAGTTAAAACATTGTTGTGCTCATCTACGCACAGTAAAAACTTTGTTTGTAACATGGCAATTGTCAAGGTAAAAAATGTGTGGAAGTAGATCTGATAAATCATGTAGCCAATCTCTCATATGCCTCTGATTTTTGCTCACTCCCAGGCTCCCAGCCCTTTCATTGGTAGCCCTTGGCTGAAAGCTAGTGTTGAATATATAAGCACATGCATATTGATTTAATTTATTCCATAAATAAATTATGACATTGCAGATGTAAATTAGCATAATCGCATCATACGATCTACACATATAAACAAATCGAATATGTGAAACATAGTGAATGCGTACCGAGGGTTTTGGAAGTTCGGCTGCATAGTAGGAAGGACTCGCGATACCGAGCGTTGACGACGGCGTGCATGTCACACCCCGATCTGGCACCGTCGTACAACGGCACCTGATAGGAGCGTGTCGTAGGAAAAACGGCGCGAACCGCTTCCTACGAAACCGCGATCTCAGTACCAGTCCCAGGACATAGCGCTGGTACCCACGGTGACAAATATGAATCATTGCAATCCTTAAAATAAATAGAGGACTTATTTACCTTAACTTAGGTTTGCAGCTCAGAACAGCCCGAGAATGCAACCGACGACGCGGACGAGGAAAACACCAACAACAGCAGCAGCAGCGGAACCAACGGACTAACACCCAACACCACAGGCGATGGCTAGGAACCAGGACGAAATCCTAATCTTCACTTCACTCCGTCTTCACTTCAAGGCGGAGGAACTATATATATATTTATATAGAGCAAGGGTGAGTACTTTCGTACTCAGCAAGTCACGGGAATTTAGGTGTTTGATGCAAGCTTGGAAGAGAGGCAAGGTTGTTTTGCAAATCTTTGTTTTGAAATTATTTTGAAATCACAAAGTGATTTATTTCTTTCTAAGTTTGGGCCGAAAAGAGACTTGCGTCTCGATTCGACTTTAGGAGATGTTTTTCAACAGCTCATTTGGTAATGTACCGACCTCTCAGGTCAGATCATTATCTCTCGGCTCCCAGAGTCATTCCACTTGATTAATCGGCTCCCAGAGCCTTTTCATTTTCTCGGACTCCCAGAGTCCAGCTGCCCATCAGCACAACAATCCGCTTCCACTTGGGAAGCCTAGTCTATGATGTCCGTAGACATCCCGAATCACACAGACTCGTTTCTTGACCACTCAGGTCATCCATATGCCACATAGGCTGATTCTAGTAACGATTCCCACACCACAACAACTTTTCACAAAGCACAGGCAAACAAATCTACGCTATAGGAAACACCTCACATCCGCCCATGACCGTGGGCACGGCTGTTCGAATAGTTAGTTAACCTCTGCAGAGGGGGTACACTTTACCCACACGACATTACTAACCCGGATCATCCAACCCGTGGAGAACAGCCACGTCTGGTGACCTTAAGGCTTTCATGACAAGGCATTTCAAAAGCCGACACAGGGTCGCCATATGCCAACGAGAGGAGTCCCAGACTGACAACAGGTTAGGTCCCAGACCATACTGTGCCAGGAAGCCCGAGGGTTCTACCCGACACCACCCCATTGAATACACATGTCTCTTGGCATCAAGGCTTCCCTGGTTTGCTATTTACTCAGCCAGGGGTGTCCCATTGCACCCGTGTGGTCGCACTTGTTATATGCTCGGATGAATTTCCCACAAGAATCGGTCCTTATATGCGAATACGGGACAGTGCCACACAGGCACAACCCCCGCATCGCGAGTTTTCACAATTTATTTTATTTTCAAACACACCGACACCACATGTCGGGTTTTAAAGGCTTCTCAAACCCATTTCCCAAGTTTTCGACAAACAATGGTGTATGTGGGATATTTGGTATACGCGCTCAGAGAGCACGAATACCGAGGTACCACAAAGGTGGAGCGACAAGGAGTCAGGGTAGTATAGCCTACAGGAATTAGTGCGACTACTGGGTAGGTCCATCGGTTTGACACGCAAACCGAGGCTAAGCAAGTTAAACATGAGTGATTCTAATAATGCAAGTTGCAAACAAAATAATAATGATTTTCCAATTATAGGAGAAATTGGTCAAAGGGTGACTTGCCTTGCTCAAGGTCTTCACGAAGCTTCACGAATCTTCGAGAAAACCTGCGATCAACGAAAATCCGGTAACCGCAACTATACGCAAACAATCAAAAACCTAAACAAAAGACCAAGAAAATATCCTATTTAGACTAAATAATAGTGCCATTAGATAGATCTCAATTTTACGGAATTACTGGAAATGGAACGGAGTCAATCGGAGGAACGGATGAAGAGATATGAATTTTGGAAGGTCAATGGATTTTTCTGGACAAGGAAATGATTTATCGGAATTTTCTGGAATACGACAAATGATTTATGGAGTTTATAGAAATAATATTCTCAAGAATATTATTGACAGTCACTGACGTGCAGGACCAAGGGAAATGATTTATGGAATTTTGGGAATAAGGAATTGATTTATGGAACAAAGGAAAAAGGATTTATTAAATCCCTTGGAAAAGAAAAGGAAAGAGGGATGTCATTTAGACTTCCTTTGGGCGGCTAGGGCGCGGCCCGAAGGCTATTGCGGCTCGGCCGAACCAAATGGGCTAGCGCGGGCGCGAGGAGGTGGCCCATTAGGGGCGCGCGGGAGAGAGGGAGCGGTCCGGTGGACCGAGTGCACCTCGTGGGGTCCCGGGAGGGGCCCGCTTTTCGGTGACGCGGCTCACGGAGGGATTGGTGCACGCAAGGGCGGCGCTAGGGTTTCGGGGGGGGATGGCGCACGGGCGGTGCGCCGGTGTGGATGGGAGTGCGGCGGGCCCACTTGCAGTCGCTCGGCTTACTGTGGATTGCACGCACAGGAGGGAGGACGGAGGGAGGGGCCGACCGGGTCGGTTGACTCGGTCGTGCCGAGGTGGCGCCTTCGTGGCATGACATGCGGGCCGGCGGGAAGAGGAAGAAGGGGGAGGCCGAGATGGACGGCGGACGGCGGCGACATTCGCTGGGGCAGCACACGGAGATTCAAGGGAGGGGGAGGACACCGGAGTGATGGGAGGGACAGGAGGATTCACCGGAGGGAGGCTGGCGGCGACGAATCATGGCGGCGCACGCCAGCAGCGAGAAAAGGGGGAAACGGCGGAGGGACGACGAGGATTCAATTCAAGGAGGTGGGAGCATCTCCGGGGTTCAAAGAGTCCATTTCCAGCGTCGGATGGGGCAGAGCGACGCCGTGGAGGTCCGGCGATGAGCGGCGGCCTCCGGGAGCGGGCGGCGACGGCGGCAAGCCTATGGCGGGTGGTGGCGAGGCTAGGGGCTTCGTCTACGCGCATTCGGGAGCGCTACCGAGCTACCGCGCGAGCTAAAGGAGGGAGAGGGCAAGCGAGAAGGGAGAACGGAGGGAGGAACTACCGAGCCGAGACGGGCACTGTGACGAGCAGCCGACGGCGCGGCAGCGAGCTCTCCGGCATCGGGCCAGGGAAGGGGAGGAAGACGGGTGCCTGGAGTCCCGCGTCACGCGTCCTCGCACGCACCGGTCTCCCCGGTGCTCGGCGGCGGACGGCGACTGCGAGAGCAGAGGAAGGGCGACAATCGCGCGGTGGAGTAGGAGTGTGAAGCGGGAGGGATTGAGATGGGAAGGGGAGCTCGGCTTCGGTTTTATAGGCACGGGAAGTCGGTTTTGGGGGAGGAAACCGACTTAGGTGGTCAAGGGAGCTCGGCTGGCGCGGCGCTTGCGGTCAAGGAGCAGCAGGAGGTGGTCACGGGCGGCCGGGCTGAGAGGAAAAAAGCAAAAAGGGGAGGGGAAAGGAGCTCGGCTCCTTGCCGATTTGGGCGAGCAGAGGGAGGAGGGAGAGCGCGTGAGAGAGGGGAGCCGAGGCTCTGCCTCCACGTCTTGGACGCACGCGCGCACAGGTGGAGCGAGTGGCAGGGCGGCATGGGCGGCTGCGCGGCGCAGGCGGCCAGGGCGGACGTGGCGGCGACCGGACGGTCGGCCACGCGCGGGTGAGCGCGCGCGCGGCGCGAGGGTGCGGTGAAATTTGAAAAGGCGGCGGCGGGAATCGGCGCCGGTGGGGGAGCTTCGACGGGAGAGAGAAACGGAGAGAGAGAGGGCGAGCAAGAGAAGAGAGAGAGCGAGCGAGCGAGCGAGAGAGAGAGAGAGAGAGCCGCTCTCTCTCTCTCGGCTCGGAGAGAGAGAGAGAGAGGGCGAGCAAGAGGAGGGGGGCACGGCTGAGAGGAGGGATGGGCCGAGGGAGTGGAATTCGGCCCACAAAAATAGAGGGAGGCAAAACGGACTTTGACAGAGAAGTTGAATTGGAGGGAATTTGAATTTGGAATTTGACTTGGACTTCGGATGAGAGGGAGGAGTCGACGAAGGGATTCAAAATGGGGATTTGGTATTCTCGGAACCGAGAGGAATATTGGCAAGGGATTCAAGGACAGAATTGGATTTCGCAGACTTGAATCGGAAGAGAAATTTTCGAGGTGAAGGATTTTGATTTCGATGAGAGGGAACAACGGGATTGAATTGAGATCCTTGGCACAACTTAGACTCAACACTCAAAGAACGGAAATTTTCGCAAATAGGATTTTGCCCAAAATAGTTTTTAACGACTCACGAAAAGCGGAGCGTTACAGTGCAGCACCCGAGCGAAGGGGAATATGAGTTGTTGTGGACGAACAACAAGCAGTCGCACGACGTGCTTCCTAAAAATCTTATTGCCGGCTTCTCCTAGTATAGGACGTCAAAAGCGAAGGTTCCGGGGACTTACTCTCCCGATCACCGATGCAATACAGAGTAGGAGGAAAACTTTAGATTGATTTCACGTGTTGCGAGGAGGCGTTGGCTTGGTTTATATGGATATATCATGATGTTTGATCAGGACGCCTGTATGATCTCCACACCGTGTAACTGAATCGGATATAATTTATCCAGACTCCATGCCGCTCCACACACCGGATTATTCAGTGTGTATCCAAAACCAAACCAAATTTTATAGAAAAACAAAACTGCAAAAAAAAATAAACCGCATTCGTGCAAGGGTGATGAACGAATTTTGACGGACTATTCAATTGCATGTCGCCTATGCGCGCCGCCTAGCCATGCCAAGCCAGGCGAGCGAGTACATACATGTGTTGCTCTTGTTCTCCCCATCACACATGTTGGTTCAATTATGAGATAGACTGAGGTATGTGGAACTCAATGAAAGCGCAAAGGACGACATCATTTGGAAGTAGACAGAAAATGGTCAATACACGTACGGTAAGAAGTGATTATTTGGCGCAATTCAATGGCACTACTTCCACTGCAATTTTTTCCATGATTTGGAAATCCCAGGCTGAACCAAAACATCACTTCATTGTTTGGCTCTGCAGTCTTTGCAGGGACTCCTTTGAGGATGCAACACATCTTGCAGAAGAATGCGACTTCACAAAATCGGTCTGGAACCAAATCTGCACTTGGCAAGGTTACCGGCATATACACACGGACTCCCAATCAATTTCAGACTGGGTGGAAGCACTTTCTACCATCAGGCCAAAAAGTGAAAGAAAGAAAATCATAGGAACCTGTTAACCACTTGGTGGCATGTATGGTTGGAACGAAACCGACGGATCTTCCAGCAGAAATCGCAACCGGCGATCCAAGTAGCCTTCTCGATTTAGGAAAATATAGACCTTTTGTAATTTATCTGACTTCCTTTTTTTAGGAGGTCCTAGCTGTTCAGGGCTAATTCCCAGCTCTGCTTTGTTCTTGTACTTAACTCAATCTTCCCCTTCTAATATATCTGGCAATGCTCTTGTGCCGTCAAAGTTTTTCAGAAAAGCAGAGTATCCTAACCATGGAAGAAACTAGTGGCATAAATTAGGGCTAGAAACCTACTAACATGAAGCATGGATGAACTTAAAATTAGCAAAGTATTGTAAGAGAGAAGTATCAAGTATGCATGTTACCCGATCGGCAAGACTCCGACGATCCCTCCCGGCGGAGTGCCGTCACCGAGGAATCCTCCGGGCGAGAAGCCAACGTCCCTGACTTTCTCCCGAAATCTCCCTCCATTCACAGACTGACCTACACAACTATTTCTGCAGCATGGTGCGTTCTTGTTCTGCTTCCCGAACTTGGTCTATTCCCAAATGGTAGGCATGCTTCCTCAATGGATCAATGTCGATCATTCAATGGATCAATGTCGAGCTTGGTTATCTTCCTTGGATGCTCCCACATGTGCAGTCGAAGGTCGGTTGCCGTTCGGGCCAGGGCAACAAGGCCCAATGGGGCCGGTCAGCGTAGCTACTTGTTGTAGGCCGGTCGGTCCTCCAATAAATCGGGGAAAAAGTACATCGAAAGTCCCTCAACTTGTCATCGAATTACAAAATCGTACTTAAACCGTAAAACCGGATACAACGCGTCCCCCAACTTACAAAACTAGTGTAGACTAGGTCTCTTGGCGGTTTTGACTCCGGTTTTATCCGACATGGCAGCTGACTCAGCGTGGGACCCACATGGGTCCCACATGTCAGCCTCTTCTTCCCCTCCTCTCTTCCTCTCTCATCCCTTTCCACGGCGACGGTTACGGAGAGCAGCTGGGCACGGTGCGGCGGGGTAGCAGCTGGGCGCAGCCGATGGCCAGCGGGGGAGGAGCTAGGCGCGGCCGGCGGTCAGCGGGGGAGGAGCGGGGCACGGCCGGCGAGGGTGGAGATGGGCGCGGCTGGCAACCGCCGGGGAAGGAGCTGGGCGGCGGCGGCGGGGGAGAAGCTGGACGTGGTGGTTGTCGTCGTCGTCGGAGGCGGCGGGGACTAGAACGACAACGACAATGGCGGCGGCGACGGCTGTGAGGCGGCGCCGCGGCGCGAGGAGAAGCGCCCGAGAAGGAGGCCATGCGGCAGGCTGACCGCAACGTCGGCGCCATCGTCATCAATCCGCTCTTGCCACCGGGGCCGGTGGACAGGAGAGGAGACGGCGGCGGCTGAGGCGGGGGTGGGGGCACCGGAGCCGCGGCGTGACAGTGCAGGGTGGGAGCTGGGTTGCGCAGGGCGGGGAGGAGGGCAAGGTGGTTCGGCGGCGAGGTGGGGAGAGCAAGGAGAGGACGTCATCGACGCTGTCGGGCGGCAGCACAGGGAGGAGTGGCGCGTGGTGGAGGGGTCGTGGGAGGTGGTGTGGAGGACGGATTCCACGGTGGGAGGACTGCACGGCCTCCCACGTCAGCCCTTCCCCGTCGCCGCTGCCCAGCTCCTCCCCCGGTGGCTGCCGCCCGCGCCCAGCTTCTCCCCCGGTGGCGGCGACGTGGGAGGCCGTGCGGCGCCGCCACCGGACTCCGGCCTCCCCCACCGGCCAGCTGCCCTGCCCACTGCCGAACTGAGGAGCAAAGGGAGAGAAAAAGAAGAGGAGGGAGGAAGAGAGGGAAGGGGAAGAAGGGGCTGACATGTGGGACCCACGTGGGTCCCATGCTGAGTCAGCTGTCACGTCGAATAAAACCGGAGTCAAAACCCCTAAGGGACCTAATTTGTACTGGTTTTGTAAGTTGAGGAATGTGTTGTATCTGATTTTACGGTTTAAGGATGATTTTGTAATTCGATGACAAGTTGAGGGACCTTCGGAACTTTTTCCATAAATCGGTTGGTCTCTTTTTTGATCCATGGGTGAGGGAAGCCGGCCTGCTGGCCGTACTAGGCTAGCTGACCAGATCACCAGATGTGGCCGGTCTACAAGGCTAGTGGCTCTTTCCGTGCATTTTCGCATGAGTTCCATCTGTAACTGCAAGATATTCTGAAAAAAAAACTCATGGAATTCATTAGAAATAGGCGAACTGATCAGGATAACGTGCATGTATTTAATATTTTGTTAAAACGTAGGTGGTATAATTTGGGTTTAATATCCACCTGAAAGGGCCTGTAAAATTTGACTTTCTCAGGAAGTTCTCTATAGGAACTGCCCATAATTTGGAGCTATACAATCTCAAGAGAAAAAAATCATAACTCATTCAATTTTTTCATTAAGACGAATAGTGAAATGTATTTTAAAAAATCAACGGCATCGTATATTAAAAAAAGGAGGGAGTAAAAAGGAGAAAGTTTATATAACATCTATTGTATTAGGCTTAGTGTGCTTAACTGTCTATGATATAAAATCAAGCCGGTTTTTGTATATTCTGAAAATGGATTAATTAGATATCTCATGGCAAATAAAAATTAAAGTATAGCGCGCCGGGACAACCCGAATAAACTACTCCCTCCGTTTCAAAATGTTTGACACCGTTGACTTTTTAGCACATGTTTGACCGTTCGTTTTATTCAAAAACTTTTGTGAAATATGTAAAATTATATGCCTACATAAAAATATATTTAATAATGAATCAAATGATAGGAAAAGAATTAATAATTACTTAAATTTTTTTGAATAATACGAACGATCAAATAAGTTTAAAAAATTCAACGGCGTTAAACATTTTGAAACGGAGGGGAGTAGCAGTGGTTAACCCCACACGCAAAAAGTGCTTTGGCTGCAAAGGAGGAAGAGAAAGAGTGTTGACCGGGGGAGAAGAGAGGAGAAGCCGGGAAGAGGGCCGGGATGGCGTCGAGCAACGGAGAGCAACCTCCAGAATCGCCGAAGGAAGCAAATGCTGCGCCTGTAGCAGCCAAGCTTGCCATGGCGTCAGGGCGCGATGGATGTGAGAGGCTCAAGGATCTGGTGAGTAGGGAAGACGATGCTACTACGATGGTTGTGGCCATGGCGACAAGCAAGAACGTGGACGACACAAGACGACCTCCCCCTCCCCGTGTAATTATGGATCCCCAGCTCCTCATGGCTGCACGGAATGGAGCTTGCCAGTCTCTTGAGAGCCTAGCTTCTCCTCGGCCATGAGGTGCGTTGTCAAACCTTGCCTGAATCCCATCTAATCATCTACTTGCCCGAACCAGATGAGGGAGCTCCGACCACAGATCCAATTGAAGATCAGGCTGAAGGAATCTCTGCGACTGATCAGCAAGCCTCTGGTGCTGTATATTCGCTCTCGCTCCTGGAGGGACTGACTCTTGACTCGGACCAGAACTCCGCGCTGCATGTGGTGGCAGCCTCCGGTGACAGCCAGGCGTATGTGGAGTGTGCGCGGATGGTGTACGACCAGGCGAGGCACCTACTCGGCGCGGCCAACAACAACGGCGACACGCCCCTGCACTGCGCCGCTGCAGCTGGGAACCACTCCTCGCGCTGGCTGCTGCTGCGCCTGCGCGTGACAGCAGCGGTGCAGCGAGGGTGGATGACCAGGAGCTCCTAGCAAGGAGGAAGAACAAGGTCGGTGAGACGGCTTTGCACGGGGCGGTCCGTGCTGGCCACAGCAAAGTGGTGGAGGTCCTCATGAAGGAGGATCCGGGACTGGCCGGCGTTGATCGGCACGACGGCACGTCACCGCTGTACCTTGCCGTTTCGTTGGGACGCTTCGAGATTGCGTGGGATCTGCTTGATATGAGCTCTAGGAAATTATCTTACTCCGGACCAGATGGTCAGAATGTCTTGCACGTCGCAGTACAACACCCCCAAGGTATGCGCCACATTACCGTACTCTCTTTGTTGCCCTTCCATTACATCAGTAATAACAAAATAATTATGTTTGTTTTAAAAGATCAATTAAATCCAACTCATTATATATTCAACAATGCACAGCACCGTTAAACAACCTGTAAATAAAGCTGTATCGAAAATTATGGTTTTGAGGATATCATCTAATTAAGATTGTTTGTATAAAAAGGAAGAGATTCGTGATCCCCCTATATATATACTGAGGCAAAGACTTTTTTTTTTAGTACAGATTAATTAATTTGGGTCTCTTACTCCTTTTATGATAATAACTCTATTTTTATCTTGGATTTGTATATACTTTTGGATATAAAGAGCATAGGTAGGAAGTAGACCTAATCGACTATCTCGTCAACATGTTTGGGTATGGGTTTGTTGCGATCTCTGTCATGCTCATCTGATTAGCTTTTCGGGAGTTTGGCTTAGTTGCTTTAGAGCATGTTTAAAGGTACGTAGAACTCGGTATGAGCTCTTACACGGTACATGTTTATTTAGACCATGTCCTTACGATAGTTGAAACCATTAACCTAAAAATTAATTTATTTTTATTTTCTTTTTTTCACCCACATCCAAGAAAGTTTCTATTATATATATATATATAGAGGCTATAAGAATTGTTATTTAGCCATTGTTAACCGTAACAATAATATTTATCTTTTCTCTTCTCTTCTTATCTCTTCCATGTCAGCAAACATTCCTAATATTTTGCATGTCCTTACCCCTCCTAGCAGGCGCAGGACATTCTATTTATACCCATAACTCCATCCAATCCTTGTAGGGTTTGTGGAGATAAACTTGGTATGTTTGATTTTGTACAAGTAGATGATCATCTTATTAGACCTGTTTTGAAGATTATATCCCTTTCATATACTCCCTCCTTCCCTAAATGTTTGACGCCATTGACTTTTTTAAACATGTTTGACCGTTCGTCTTATTCAAAAACTTTTGTAAAATATATAAAACTACATGTATACATAAAAATATATTTAACAATAAATTAAATAATAGGAAAAGCATTAATAATTACTTAGATTTTTTTAATAAGACGAACGGTCAAACATTTTTAAAAAAATCAACGGCGTCAAACATTTAGGAAAGGAGGGAGTAGTTCCCACCCACATGATTTGGTACCTTTCAATTCACCTTGGGATCCTGTCCGAAAGACAACGAAACAGCATCGCACCCCTCACCCCAGCTTTATCATTTGCAGGGAAGGAGGGATGTGTCACGGAGAGGGAGGGAGAAGAGGAGCAGGTAGCAGGTGGCTTGCCGCTCCTACCAGCCAACAACGGCATGCACCCCCGCCCCAAGCCTTAATTCCAGACTTGGTACCTTCGTACCAAGGTTTATACGTGTAGGTATCATCTGTGTTACCCTAGGTATTAGGCTTGATGTTGTGGGTGCCATCCGTGGATGGCATGGCGCACGACATACCTATAGACACAAGCCACATTGAGATCACGCCAGGAGGAAGCCATACATCTAGTCACGTATAACCTGCCAGATTGCTTCATCGAAATTAGTCTGTTGGGCTAGAATAGCTAGCATGCTCCGCATTTATGCTCGGTATGCTACATCTCAAAGCTATACATATAAACTGGATTAGATTTATTATCTTTCTCGGGAACCTAAATCAATACTTGTCCCGTTTCCTCTTAATCCCATCTTGCATATATCTTGGTATATATCAACCATACCCTATGTCCATAAAATAGCAGTCAGACATAACCCGCCGATAAACCGCATACTCTCTCCCTTTTAAAGTACTTATCATTCTAGATTTATCCTAGGTCATCGTACATTTTAATACTTTATTATCCATTTCTTTAAACTCATATAGTATGCTTTCATAATACATAATTCACATTCTCTTATCATTTCAAATTAGAAAGAACGACAAATATTTTTTAACGAAGAGAGTACAACCGGCTATTATGAAAGCATATACTTCCTTTGACATCTCGCCATATTTTTTTAACGAAGAGAGTACAACCGTTGATTTAATTGAACTGCAATGGGTCAACGGGGAACTGCATGAAGTAATTGTTCAATTCCACGTGCTCTTCCAACTATCTGCCCATGGAAAGACATCGTACTTCAGTACTTGCTTACGCCATACGCGTAGTTTGACTGCCTCAACGTCAATGAGTAAGGCCTGGTCTACTTTCCAAATTTTTTTCCCAAAATGTCACATCGAATTTTCGGACACATACATGGAGTATTAAAAATAGATAAAAATAAAAACTAATTATACAGTTTGCATGGCAATTGCGAGACGAATCTTTTGAGTCTAATTAGTCCATGATTAACCATAAGTACTACAGTAACTCACATGCGCTAATGACGGCTTAATTAGGCTCAAAAGATTTGTCTCGTGGTTTCCAGGCGAGTTATGAAATTAGTATTTTCATTCGTATGCGAAAACTCATTCCAACATTCGGTCAAACATCCGATGCGATACCAAAAAAATTTCTTTTCGCGAGGTAAACACACTCTAAACAGTGCAACTGGATCTAACCCGACAGCTTGATCGGTATAAATAAAATCTAAGGCAAAAATCAATGGTTGAAAAATTCATGTGATTACATGTACATAGTGAATTCAATTTAGGGGTAGTTTGGATATACATGACTAAACTTTAGTCCCTGTCACATCCGATGTTTGCACTAATTTAGTGTATTAAACATAAACTAATTACAAAACTAATTACACAGATTAAGGCTAATTTGCGAGACAAATCTATTAAGCCCAAGTAATCTATGATTAGCACATATTTACTGTAGCACTATACATTGTTAAATCATGTGTGTAATTAGTTTTGTAATTAATATATGTTTAATACTTTAAATTAGTTTCTAAACATTCGATACGATAGTGCCTTTAGTACGTGTATCCAAACTACACCTTGCCTTTTGGGCTTCCGTGGGCTTTGGTGTTTTCCTGCTGGCAATATCCCATCGCCAGTCACTGCCATCAGACACTACGAGCAGCACAGTCCGCCGCCAAAAGCTTAAGGAAGGGTGTGTTTAGATCTAGACGCGCAAAAGTTTTCGCGTGTCACCTTGGGTATTATATAGGATGTCGTATAGGGTGTATGAGCACTAATATAAAAACTAATTACAGCATCCGTTAGTAAACAGTGAGACGAATTTACTAAGCCTAATTAATCTGTCATTAGCACACGTTTACTGTAGCACTATATTGTCAAACCATGAAGTAATTGGGCTCAAAACATTCGTCTCACAAAGTAGTCTCAATTTGTGTAATTAGTTATTTTTTAGCCCATATTTAATACTTCATGCAGGCGTTCAAACGTTTGATGTAACAGTGTAAAATTTTGTGGTGGGATCTAAACAAGCCCAAAATGGTAGGAGGGCAAAGAATGAACAGTCAGCACAGGAAAACAACCAAAATTTTGACAAATTGACCCTTTAAGAAAACTTATTTTGAGATTGATCCATGCTAAAAACCAATTGAAAAATAAGCCATCGGCTGAGTGACATCGAGTTTGGCGCTGATATATAACATGTCAGCGCCGAGAAAGTTGACCCTAAGATCTAAAACTCTTTGCCGCTGACCCCACATACTAGCATTTAACAATATAATTTTTGCCTCTTGGTTGGAAGTTTGGTAGTGGTTTAATGGTTTAGTTGCTTGCATGGTATATGCAGGTCTTGTGTTTGATTCCCGTCGGCCGCATGTATAAGCCATTTTTGTCACTTTTTTCTCTCTTCTTTTTAATCTCTCAGTAGTTTGCTTTTAAAACAAACAGATGATTTTTATCTCTTTTTATTCTCTCAGTTGGCTTTTTAAATTCCTTCTTTTTTATTCTCTCAGTTGTTGGCTTTAAAAAAACAAATACTTTTTTATCTCTTCTTTTTTTATTCTCTCAGTTGGATTTTAAACAAAATAAATGCGACATTGATTATTCTCAGTTGTTTGCTTTTAGTAAAAAATAAATGCGACGCTAGTTCAAGAAAGCAGAAAGAGAACATACACTAATGAAACAATAAAGGAAAAAAATGCATAGCAGAGGATAGAACCCAAGATATCTTGCATGTCTCTCACCACTAGGCTACACTTGCATCACAGATTACTAAGTGTTGCTTCCATTTTTAACCGGTACATGAGGTCAGCGCCAAAGACTGGCGTTGATCCTCTGCCGCGTGGAATGCACCGCTAGCTCATTTCGGATCTTAGCACCAACATTTCCAACACTGAGACGTTATATATCAGCGCCAAACTCGATGGTGCTGAGCCGACGGCTCATTTTTGCAATTAGTTTTTAGCATGGATCAATCTCAAAATAAGTTTTCTTAAAGGGTCAATTTGTCAAAATTTCGGGAAAAACAATAGGTAGAACTCCTGCTCCATCCGCCCCTAAAAAACGAATATAGAGTCGGATGTGACATATCCTAATACTATGAATCTGGACAGATATATATCCAGATTCGTAATATTAGGATGTATCACATCCGGTAGTAGATTCGTTTTTTATGGGATGGAGTGAGTATATGATTAGGAGGTCCAACTCACTTAAGATAGAAACAGGAAGATTCGATGGGAGGATGGGGAATAGAACAGAAAACTATTAAATTTCTGTTGTCAACTTTTAGGCTAAAACCTAAAATGCCCTTGTTTATACCGGCAGTACATTACCACCATGTAATTTGTACCACAAAAGTCCTCTTTTTGAAATTGAAAAATCTGAAACGGGCCAAATTGAATGTGACGAAATATGAGCTGACGGCTAACTATATTAATTGTTGATTGGCTGACTGTTTGCTTCAGTAAAATGTCTATATATAAACCCCAAACTGTTTGTGTTGCTTAGCCCCCAAAGTAATAAACCAAGTATTTTTTATCTCGATGTATTGAAACCCCGGTTTACTTAACCCCAGGGTGGTTTTGCACGCTGGTTTCACCATGCTGCCAGTCAAGCAACCTCCAAGTGGTTAATGTGCCAATCAGCAACATGAGCTGATTAATAATATTCCTTCGTCGTCCTTGGCAAACTCAAGTTGAGTGGAAGAAATTGGACGGGGCTTCGAAGGAGACCGGGAGATAAATTAAGGTAGAGGTCTGGGGCACTATGTACAAAGTGGTTCAAGTCCTACGTGTCTTGACTGCTAGCGTGGACTGCCAGCATGGTGAAATTAGCGTGCAAAACTACCACAAGAGTTATGTTTCCATATGTAGATTTACCATTTTCCCCCCTATTATAGCGACACGGTATTATCTCCTTAATGAACCAATGGAAGGAAGAGTAGAAACACAATTAAACTAATGGAGTAGAAGCCTAGGAGGAAGTAGAAGACAAGTGAAACAGGCAACAACCTGTGGCACTGCTCATGCTGACATGCATGCTGCAGGCCACACAGCTGATAGGTTGCTTAATCATTTTTAAAAG